AAGTGAATTTACTTGGAAATATTTTAAGGATTTTAAGCCAAAATATGCAAAGTAAGCTCGTATATTGAAGACCGAGTTTTATAAGTTCTAAAACTGAGGTAAAATACTCGTATTACACACTCAACAACAAAATAACACAAATTGTAATAAACAAAACACGTTAGTTCATTATTCATTCAGCAAATTTTCGAAAACATTACCTCCCACTTCGCACCACTTTTAATTGATGAGTTTTAACGAACGATTATTGGCTCTAATGAATGGTGCAGGATTTATAATTTTCCTTTCATGATCAGGAGCATAAGTTCATAATGGGAGTTTGTAGAGATGTTCTAGTGAATTATTCTTGCACGTGAGAAGTTTTCTTTTTACGGCAAGCAAAATTCTTCATTATACTCAAAACTTAACTAAATGCCTACATCTGAAAGGCCTAGACTATCTTTGAAATTTTCTTGTTCAGAGTGCAGCCTACCAATCAGAGCTGGCACAAATATAGCTGGAAAATAGTATATGAAATGCCAATTATAAAATATCGGAATTGTGTGCCGCATTACTAAATGCGGTTCCCAATTTGAAAAGTGCTTCGGTTAAAAATACAATTGGGCATTTGGTTTTCTTCAAGTGAAATAGTTCAATTACTTTGTGATTATTTTAAATGCCATATCAGATTTGAGGTGATTGATCTATTGAAACAAAAATACAAGTGAAATATAAAACCGAGTACTTATTTGAAAGCTTAGTACTTGAAGTAAAAGATTGTTCACAAGTAATTCGAATACACCAAGTAAATGAGAAGAAATATGGTTTTCAAGTTTTTTTCCTAGAGAGCGGTTGGTACTTTAGGACTGACAGCTCTGTTTCCAACCCATAGAATAAATCTGGAAACACTTAACAGTCTTTCTTTTTTATAACTCTTAAAACTCGCTACTCGCTCTACGTTCTAAACCGTGTTCCTTTTAAAAAAAATACAGATAAATAAAAATACTTCATATTTCCTCAGTCACCACATTTTACGAATAACCGTAATAAGCAATGTGAACAGCAGGGGTTAGTAGTGAGAATACTACCAATAGCTACAAGTCTTAGTTTTTGTTACTGATTATTTCATAATGTTAAAGCCCGAAACTAGTGTTACAATTCAATCATTGAATGTGCAATTGGTGCTATAAAACCTGTTTCATTGGAGTAATTACTAGCTGGTGCATCCGACTACATGCGTGTAGAAGGTCAGAGGTGGACGCATCATTCAATTGATTTAGTTTAACATAATGACGCTAAACGTGTATTTAGTTGCACAAAACCACTTCCAAACTTTCAATAGCAGGAAAATTCCTAATTTCACTAACAAAATCATAAATTGTCCACTTTTTTCTGAAGCATTCCCAGTTATAACAGAGAAACTACATGTATAGATGGGTATCGAAGGCCAGATATAAAATATAATGTTTGCAATCTGATTATCTTTAGTTAATTGCTGTTCGACATTGAACTATAAATATCAATCTCGTTACACCTAAACATTTTACGTTGCAAATGTACGTCTTTCCAACAATTAAAAAGCTATTTAGCTTGATGGAATAAGCCTTTATCACATAAAAATTAAATTTGAAGGTTGTTTTGAGCATACTCATAATAAGCATACATAAATATAAGTATTTTGTTGGCATTTTTTTGCTTTCACTAAATAGTAGCACCGTTTATAAATTGATATTGTATTTAGTAGGTTAGTCACTAACTGCATTTGTATGCAACTATTAATGTCTTTGTTTTCAACCATATACACAGTGGTTCTTCCTGCAAATTTTCCGTTAGAAGTTGAAAATTTATTAATTACGTTTTATAAGCCGATATAATATTTAAAAATGGAATTAATACCCAAGCTGGGAAAAAAAGTTATTCCAAAAATTTAGTATTTGTTTGAAGTCAATTATTTTAGTGGCATAATGTTCTGTTTGAAGACAGCCAAATCTATAAAGAATCAAATGTTTCCCAATTATGTGGTACGTTTTTCAAATGTTTTGCTCTCACAAAAAATCTTGTTTCCTTAAGAACTAATGGATGTTTTAATCCTTTGTAAATTACAGTTTTTGTGCAACATATTTTAATTGTAAATTGGTGTTTGTAGTTTGTTTTGAATTTTAATCTGATGATGGCGCTGTTGTCTCTCCCAAACGTTATATGAAATAGACGATATGAACATTTTTATTTCACATTTTGACTTAAACCCAGGAATGAAAAAATATAAGAGCAAAATACAATTAAATTAAACGTTATTAAAATTGAAAAAAGTAAAAAGTTAAGTCCAACAAGACCGCATTGAACCAAATCATGTAAATTACATCATTCCATAGTGGTAAATAAACCATTCTTCCAGAACTTAAGATTGAATTGTGTATCTATAATATAAGCGATCGAAGTCTTAAAACATCTCATATTCGATAATAGATCTCTTAATCGAGAAAATAAGTTTCTAAATTACTTTCAATTTTCATGCTTTCTGTAAATTTTTCCAAACTATTTTTTTTAAATTCATTTAAACTTCTCTTTTCAGATAACAAGCTGATCTTGAGGAGCGTAAATGGTCAATTTAAGTCTAACGAATTGACAGCCATCTTAGGCCCTTCAGGGGCCGGAAAAAGCACTCTGCTAAATATACTAGCAGGATACAAGTAAGTGGTTTCCAAAGCAATAAATAGTAAATAATAAGCGATAATTATAAACTGAACGCAGTGGATAACGAAGTTCAACAAAAATTGTCCGAATTTATTATAATTTACCCAAAAAGAAATGATCGGCAATTTACGTTAAAATTCGAGCAAAACGATGCTAATTATTGATCAAAAAATTTTCAATGTCTTACAAATTGGACTGTGTGGAAACTAACAGAGTTTCTACACTTGCGTCAAGCTAATCGTCGACTGTGACAATATTTTTTTCGACTGAATTGTTTCAGATTTAGAAACGCAACTGGTGAAATCTTGATAAATGGGAAACCAAGAGATTTAAAGTTGTTTCGGGAATTGTCACGATATATAATGCAAGAGGACCTGATGCAACCAATGTTAACGGTCTATGAAGCAATGATGGTTGCTGCCAATCTTAAACTTGGAACTGCGCTTAGTAAAAAACAAAAACAAACCTCGGTAAGTATACTTAATGAAACAAAGCCATGGTCCGATAAAAGTGTTTTTGAATTAAAAAGGGCAGTATTTTGAAATAAAAAGGTTTGGAAAAAATGTTTAAAATAGACATTGTTATTTGATTTTTTAAATTAGTTTTTATCAAATTTATTCTTTAGCAGATTTAGATTAGATTTAGATTTAATCATCAGCAGTTTAAAAAATGAGAAGACAAAGAATGTAAAAGGGCTATAATTTTATCCGGTTAATGATCGTGACCGCGAATAACACGCTTGATAGGGCAAAAATTTGAACTTCCTGTTATGTTTTCGTTGAGCGTCCTAAATTTCTTGCTTCGTTGTAATGAAAATGATCTAGAAATGGATATATTTTAAAAACTTGATATTTTTCGATAAAACCCCCAAAATCGAACTTTCACCTGAAGAAAATCTCAATGTGCATATATATGTAAGGTGTTTGGGTCTATGATTAGAATAGGTTCAAGATTGCAGAAAAGTGTTAACATTGGTCAAAAGTCTGGATTATTTGTATATACCCCAATATGTATTTATAAAGTGATTGAGTCTATAATAAAGAAAATATAGTTGGTCGATTCACCATTCAAAACCTATTCCCCATTCTACCATTCAAAATTGGCCAAAAATATCAAATCTTTTGGATCTGAAGTATCCAGCGTATTTTTGAACGAGCTCGTTGCATAAAATGTTTGATATTTTTTGAAAAAATCTACCACTATTTATGAAGTTTTCGGTAAAAAATCAAAATTTAACATGCGTATTTTTCGAGTTCAATGAATATATTTCAAGCTGGGAAACTCCCCAGCATGCACACTGAAGTAAAGTGACTGAGTCTAAAGTTATGAATAAATCGTCGGTCTAAAATAGCCACCGCCCAAAAAGGGGTTAAAAATATTAATTCTTTCGAATGTGAAGCTTCCAGCATGTTTTTGAATTAGCTCGTTGCATTCTTATTTTTTTGTGCCCAAAATGATGTAAAATTTGATGCATCTTGAAATGTTTGTATTTTTTTTTAAATTCATGTACGTTACATTCTTTACATCTTTATATCATTACATCTTTATGAAATTTTTGGTAAAAAATCAAAAGCTTACATGCGTGTTTTTTGAGTTCAATGGATAGATTTCGAGCTGATAAACTCTCCAATATGCATATACAAATGATTGAGTCTATAATAAGGAAGATATCGTTGGTCGAAGATTGCCACCATTTAAAAATGGCTTAAAATTGGACAAACATATGAATTCTTTTGGACTGAAGTTGCCGCCACTTTTTTTATGAGTTCCGTAAAAAATCAAAATTTTGTATGCGTGTTTTTCTAGATCAATTGATTATTCATTCATCAATTATTTATTCACTTCCACAGCCACCCTACAAAATGTAGCAACTTTTTGAAATTTTTAAATAAAATAAATAATTTGAAAACGGTTGATTTCACAGCTTAAAGTGTAAATGCAAATTTGTAACTTTGTAAATTGCCTATCTAATGACGTATATACAGGTACTTCCGTTTGAAAAACAAAAGTTATATTGCGTTACAAAGTTTTAGATTGAAGTCCACATTGTTAACACCCTGTACAATGTATTTATATTTTGGTTCAATAGAATTCTTGACGGATCTGTGGTGATTGGAAAGACGTATTTTTTTTGTATCTCTAACTGCTGTTTTTTGCTTCTACAATTAATTTTTAGATATCATGTTTTTAAGCAAAATTTCACTAAAATGCCGATAATTTGCCAACGTAACAAGTGAGAAAAAAACAATTTACGGTGCATATGCAGCGTTTCAAGCTGCATTCCATGAGCTAATAAAAAAAAGGTAGTTCTATTTAAAAAAATACACTTTGATCTCGCCTCGCTTTTCTGAGACACTGTATCGTATAAGATATTTTTAAAATGTGTGCACTTTGTGCGTCAACAACTTTTATATGAAACTGTTTTTCGCAAGTTCAACACCATTGGAAGTAATGGACTCTATCGCACTAAA